TTTTTTTTTTTTTTTTTTTTTTGCTGTAGCCGCGGGCGGCCGGAGTTTACAACTTGATTCTCTTTTCCTTATGAGGAAGCGGCGGTGGCGAAAGATGTGTTTAAAGAAAAGAATAAATAGTAGCCGCATTAACCGAAACCCCGAAGTGGGGTTTTTTCTTTTCTTCCTCCAAAGGTCTGCAGAGTTGACACAATACAGAAGGTATTTTTTTTTTTTTTTTTTTTTTTTTTTTTTTTGCGGCTGCTCCTGAAGCTCTGACATCACCCAGTGAAATAGGAAACATTTCAGGCATGGGTCAACTCGTATTTGTCCCTTCCCACCTTCCGTTTGCTGTTTTTTTTTCCCCTTCCGTCCTAAGAAGGATGAATGGGCAGTATGAGTTAGAAATGTCAGCTCTATCTTCTGATGTTTAAATGTGACAGATCTAATAGGATTGCTCACGTTGTGGGGTGCCCCCTCCTTTTTTTTTTAAGTCTGGGTGGACTGAAGTGAAGCCTTGTTAGTCAAACAATAATTTGGGTTCAGACCACAATACTTGTTCTAAATCCCCGTCCTTTTGTTCGTTTTTTCAGGCATCTGGAGTTACAGTGAATGATGAGGTCATCAAAGTTTTTAATGATATGAAAGTAAGAAAATCTTCTACCCAAGAGGAAATCAAAAAGAGAAAGAAAGCAGTTCTCTTCTGTCTAAGCGATGACAAGAGACAAATAATTGTAGAGGAAGCCAAGCAGATCTTGGTGGGTGACATTGGTGAGACAGTAGAGGACCCCTACACGTCTTTTGTGAAGTTGCTACCTCTGAATGATTGCCGATATGCTTTGTACGATGCCACGTACGAAACAAAAGAGTCTAAGAAGGAAGACCTAGTATTTATATTCTGGTGTGTAAAAACAAAAGAGAAAAAAAAGTACTTTTAAACATGCAAGGATTATTATTATCACAGTCAGTTTTTGCCTTTGTTTTCTTTTGAATTTCAACATTTTTCTCTCCCCCCCCCACCAGGGCTCCGGAAAGTGCACCGTTAAAAAGCAAGATGATTTATGCTAGCTCTAAAGATGCCATTAAAAAGAAATTTACAGGTATAAACATAGAGTGTTTTGTGCAGAAAAAAAAAAGTTTCTTAATTATAATAAGGTTCATGGATGTGTCTTTTTTTCTTTTGTAGGTATTAAACATGAGTGGCAGGTGAATGGCTTGGATGATATTAAGGACCGCTCGACACTGGGAGAGAAACTGGGAGGCAGTGTGGTAGTTTCCCTGGAAGGAAAGCCGCTATAAAATAATAGCCAAGTGCCATCGCATCTTAAGGGGCTTCCATTTCTCCAGCTCAGTCCACTGGAACCGTAGTGGGTTTTGTTTTTTTTTTTGTTTTGTTTTTGTTTCTTCCCTTTCCACTGGGCCCTTTGAACACAATGAATGGATGGATTTAGAAGCCTGTCAGTGATTGCCATGAGACTGTTTAATACGGTGACTCTTCTGTAGACCCCAGAGAATGCCTTCCCCGTCTTATTTTAGCCAAAACAACTGGTTCCATGCCTTCCTCACAGTGACAATGGATGTGGTTGTCACTGTGACTAGCTTAGGTAGAGTGCTACAGAGGGTAAGCTAAGTGAATGCCTTGAAAGTATTATCCACTGGTCATATGGTCAACTTCTTTCAGTATTATTTATCGTTGCACTTGATTCAGTTCTCTGAGGCGCTGGAGCGTTTGCACACCTCACCTGCCTTGGCCAGCCTGTTTGGTGACATGGCAGCACAGATCTAACAGACTCCTTAGAAGCACTTTTTTTTTTAATGCGTTGAATTCCTTAAAAAGAATGCCAATTAAGTTTCATTACGTGTCATTGATTTATCCCAGTACCTCAGTGTTCATTCCTCTACCTGCATACTTTCTTGAAAGAAATAGCTGTGTGGATGTCTTTGCTTTCCCACTGAGTATACACTACTGAGTACATGTAGGAGTTTTATGTTTACCGTATGAGTCTTGAAACACTACAGACATTTTGAATATCAGTCATGATGGCAATTTCTGTATACAAGAGCCTTAAATGGAACATTGTTTTGAGATCAAATTCCCCACCCTCACAAAAGTGGCCACGTTGCAATAAAAATTGTGGCATATTACAGAACGTTGCCTTGTTTTCCTTGGAAATTTTGCAAATTGTCATGTGAAATTTTGGGATAAACAGTGATTAAGCTCTGCACTGGTATTTGAGATTTTCTTTTCTTTAATATTAACACTCATGTGTCTTTTTTTCCAGATTGTTGAATTTCTTTGGTTTAAAAATATCTTAAGATCACTTATATACAATCATTAAAAGAGTGGTACTTATATAAATATGTTTATTTATTTCTTTATGTTAAATATGGAGATTAGATTTTTTTTTTTTTTTTGCACTTTGGCATACTCCAGTATCTTATTTGTTCTTTAGATAAATTAGGATATTAATTCACAGTTACATTACTAAATAATTTCTTTGTAGAAGTAGGATGTTTTTATTACTTGATCATGATGAAAATAATTTGTAAAATGTCATTCAGAGGTTCTGATGTTTAGGAATGTTCATTTCAGCTACGATTCCTTATTATCTTTTCCAAATTGAATTGAAAAAAAAAAATTGATGTAGCAGTCTTAAACATTAGTAACAGGATTTGGCTGTGGTCCAGAGTGTCTCCTTATAGAGAATTTGATCTGCTCAGTGTGCGCACTTTGCTATTAGCCAGAGCTATTTATGGCAAACACATGCTTTTGTATCTTGTCATAGTCATCCACAGATGGCAGAACTGGACTTGATTCCACCGGTATGCAAGACAGGCGTTCTAGTGAGCAGTCATTTGTGGCTCTGAACTTCAGTGCTTTTATCAGAATATAGAAAATGAAAATACCCTTTTTTAAAATGTGTGGAAGTAATTTGAGTGTAATTAGATTTTTTTTCTACCTGTTTGAAAGTTTTTTTTCAGATGAGGACATTGAAACATAGCTGTTAAATGTCTAGGCTTCCATTTAAAACTATTCGAGTTACTTGGGATCTTTTTAGCACTAAGCAATTTTATTTCAGCCTTCCAGCTGTCCCTGTGTGTTGTTCCAGACCTTTCCGTGGCTTTTTGGTAAGGCTGCTAATAAGCGAAGCATGAAAATGGTGATGTGTACTAAACAATGTGTTTAACTGATCTTTGCACCAAAGGACTTTTTCACCAAGTTATTTTGTTCTTCCAAAAATTAAGAAATTTCTAAAAAGTGAAAGAATGCCCTTTTGTTTTTATAGCTGGTTTCTCAATTTCCTTATATCCTTTTCTAGAATAATTTCAGAGATTAAGTACTGCTTTAAACTATGATACTTTGACCTTGTTAGATTGGCAAATATATTAACGCAATTAAGTTCATCTTTAAAGTGCACATATGTGCCTAGAGCCAAAAAATAATGATTTAATTAATGATCTTATGTTTAAAATAATTTGATATCTTATTTTACAATCATTTACAGTGAAACAATGTTCCAGTTAGCTTTAAAAGTATATGGTGCTAATTAGTAAAATATTGAAGGCAATATTTTACTGCTAGCTTGCAAAATTATAAGTGTTTTAAAAAATAAAATACATGAAAATATTTAAGGCTGTTGAGATGTGTTTACTTCCATTTTAAAGCATTGAAAGTTGGAAAACTAAGATTATAGATTAAAGAGGCAACATTATCTGCAGCACTTTTCAGGATTTTAGTTCATAAACTTTCATTTAGAAATCCTGTTTTCGGGCCAGAGAGATAATTGACAGGTGCAGCCACTAGCCACTGAAGCCTGGTAGCCTGCGCTCAATTCCCACTTACAGGTGGAGAACTGGCCCTGCAGTTGTCCTCTGACCTCCACACTTAGAAGTGGCACATGTGCATGCATGCACACACACACACACACACACACACACACACACACACACACACACGCATCATGCACACAGAGACATAATGATAATAGATAAGGTTTTAGAAATTTCGTCTTCAGAATTAAGCTTGATGCATGCTTATCTGAAATCCTAGCACTCAAAAGGTTTTAGAACCAGGATCAGCATTTCAAGGTCATTTCCAGCTACAGAGTGAATCCCAAGCCAGCCTGGGCTACATGACATTAAAAAGGAGTATCAATGCTGGGCATGGTGGTGCACGCCTTTAATCCCAGCACTCGGGAGGCAGAGCCAGTCGGATCTCTGTGAGTTCGAGGCCAGCATGGTCTACAGAGCGAGATCCAGGACCAGCATCAAAACTACAGGAAGAAACCCTGTATCGAAAAAAACCAAAAAAAAAAAAAAATTGCAGGAATTCTAGCATTTTCAGACATAGAACAGGTGACATCATCCTAAACTGACTCTCAGCTGTTATTTTCCATCATTAAAATAGTGTGACCAGCATTATATATTTAATGTGCCTTTTTAGCAGATGACAAAAGCCTCATAGGCTTGAGAGTCATATAGGTCCTTTGTAGAAGCTAGTTAGGTCCTTTGTAGAAGCTAGTTTATGGGATTTTAAAGAGATTTGTTTGTATTTTTTTTTGTTTTATGTATGTGGGTGTTTTGCCCACATGTATGTCTGTGTGTGATGTGAGGGCCTGAGCCTGCAGAGGTTAGAAAGCCACCGATCCTGCGGAACTGGAGTTACAGATAGCTGCTGTTAGCTTCCATGTCGATGCTGAAAGACCAAGTGCTCTAATGCTGGCCCATCTCTGGCCCTTGTGGGGTCTTTGAAAAGTGCCTTCTCATTAAGGAATAATCGCGGCTGAGGTGAAAAACTAACTGAGAGGTTTCCCTCTTGTAAAAAATTTAATCCAGATGTGGAACGTGCCGAATCCCAGCACTCTGGCTGAAGCAGGAGGGTTACGGTGTACTTAGGCTAGCCTAGGCTGTGGAAAACACTACAACAGAAAACCCCAGGACTGGCTAAATGGCTCCGTGGGTAAAGGTTTTGCCACTGAATCTGACATCCTGAGTTTGATTCCTAAACTCACATGATAGGAGAATCAACTCCCAAAAGGTGCCCTCTGACTTCCACATACACACACGCATAAGGAAATGGGGAGGGGACTTACCTTCTTAAGTACTACTTTTATTTGCAAATTTAGTAGTAGCTAGAATATACAAAATGGGGGCTGGGGAGATGACTCAGTGGCTAAGAGCACTGACTGCTCTTCCAAAGGACCTGGGTTCAATTCCCAGCACCCATATGGCAGCTCACAACTGTCTAACTCCAGTTCTAGGAGAAAAAAAAGAATATACAAAATGACATGAACATTCACTTTTCTCTGCCTATAAAAGCTACTAAAAGACTGTCATTGTGCAAATCTCCAATCCCAGCATTCGGGAGATTTAAGACAGGAGGATCAGGGCAAGTTTGAGGCTGGCCTGCGTAACATAGCAAGTTCCAGGTCAGAACTACAAAAGGTGAACCTGTACAAACAAACTGAGGACCTGGGAATGTCACTTGCTTTTCAGAGAGCACAGGATTATGGTTTTGAATTTTGCATTGTTTGAGACAGTGTTTGCCTCTACCACCCTGGCCAGCCTGGAACTCACTGTGTAGACCCAGCTGGCCTCAAACTCAGATCTGCTTGTTTCTGCTTCTTGGGTGCTGGGATTAAAAACATGCAACATCACACTTGGTAAGATTGAGTTTTTTGAGCCATAATATAGAAGGTAATATCTACCATATCTGGCATCTGAGTTTTAAACTAGCAATACTTAGTGCTTTGCAGTGCTGGGAATCAAACCTGGGTATTGTGCTGCTAGGCAGTCCTGGAAATGCTTTATAAAAAAGGTGGTGGTGCACGCCTTTAGTCCCAGCACTGGGAAGGCCGAGTCAGGTGGATCTCTGTGAGTTGGAGGCCAGCCTGGGCTACCAAGCGAGTTCCAGGAAAGGCACAAAGCTACACAGGGAAACCCTGTCTCGAAAAAAAACAAAAACAAACAAGCAAAAAAAAAAAAAAAACCAAAAAACAGGAAAATGCTTGGTAAATGTAAAGTTTTAGACCTTTACCTTTAAAGATGTCTTTATTTTGATTTTATGTATATGAATATCTGAATATATGGGTGTGTACCGTGTGCATGCCTGGTGTCCAGGAAAACAACTAGAAAGCACAGGAGTAAATAGATGGTTGTGTGTTGGGGGATGTTATTTTAAGGTGTGTTACTTTTGTTTATGTTACATTTGTGTAACTGAAGCTGTGTTACTTTGCCTGTCTAAAACACCTGATGGTCTCATAATGAGCTGAACAGCCAATAGTGAGGCAGGAGAGAGGATAAGTAGAAGGAGAAATCTGGGAGCAAGAAAAGGAGGAGGACATGGGGCCAGCCACGGAGTAAGAAACAAAGGACAGTTACAGAAGTAAGAAAAAGGTAAAAGCTCAGAGGCAAAAGGTAGCCGGGATAATTTAAAGTTAAAGAAAGCTGTCAAGAAACAAGCCAAGCTAAGGCCAGGCACTTATAAGTAAGAATAAGCCTTCATGTGTGATTTATTTGGGTGTCAGGCCCCCCAAAAGAGTAAACAACGAACAATTGTGAGCCACAGTGTGCTGGGAACCGAGCCCAAGTCCTCGGCAAGAGCAGCAAATGCTCTTAACAGATGAGCCAAGTCTCCAGCCTCAACACTGGCCTTCAGTGGTTAGGTAGATAAAACAGGCATAAAAAGCCTGGTGTGGTGGCACACACCTATAACCCAGCACTTGGACGCTAAGGTGGGATAGGCTGGTTTATTGAAGATCATTGATTCTACTGTAACGGTTGCACTTGATCTCATAGTTTAAGTACTAGTTAGCTAGTTAGCTGATAGAGAACATCTGCTTTTGGAAGTGTATCTATAGGGTGCTAGGGTGACTCAGGTGCTTGCTGTGGACCCAGTCAGGTACACCTGTAATCCCAGCACTGGGTAGATGGAGACAAGCCAGCCTGAACCTCTGCCTCAAAAGCTAAGGCAGAGAAGCAGTTGAACGACCCTGGATGTTCACCTCTGGCCTCCGCAGTCATGCACACGTGCACACCACATGTACACACAAACAGGTATACTGTATAGTTAATGTAGCTTCTGTATTAATGTCCATAGCATTTTAACATTTTAGGTGTCTTTGATGTGTGAATAGTGAGATCCAGCCTTTTGAGGGAGGAACTTTTCCAGACAGGGTTTTTCTATGTAGCTCTGACTGGCCTGGGACTCACTCTGTAGACAGGCTGGCTTTGAACTCACAGTGATCCGCCTGGCTCTGCCTCCCAGTGCTGGGATTAAAGGCGAGTGCCACCGCCAGGCTGGCTCTGGCCTTTTTCCTCCAAGTAATTTAAAAGTAAAAGAAGAGAAAAAATCGATTTCTTGATGTTTTGAGATAAGGATCTCAAGTAGCTAAGGTTAGCCTTGAACTCATTCTGTGTAGGAAGATGTCCTTGAATTCCTGATCCTCTGCCCCCACCTCATAAATGCTAGAATTATAGACATGCAGCATTAAACCTGGCTTACTGTTTTGAGACAGGATCTATGTGTAGCCCAGGGTGTCCTTGAATTGGTCATTTGCCTCAGCTTTCCAAACACTGGGATTACCAGCATGCTCCACTATGCCAGCTACCCCTACCAGTTTTAGGAAAAGGATACTGTAGAGTCTATACTACTTTATCATCCCTTGCCTGGGTTATCACATACAGACCTTTAGTTATTTTGTTTGTTAAGACAGAGTCCCACTAAGGACCTTTGGCAGGCCTGGAAGCTACAGCATAAGTTCAAGGCCAGCCTGGGATACATGAGACTCTAGCTCAAAAACAAAAGGTTAAAAGAGAAAACAAGATTATTGAAAAATATATACAATATAAATCTGAGTGTCATGGTGCATACCTGTACTCTCAACACTTGATAGGCAGAAGCAAGAGGGTCACCACAAATTTAAGGCCAGGCACTATCTTAAATATTTAAGATAGTGTCTTAAAAATCTAAAAATAGCTGAGGATGTAGCCCAATTGGTAGAGTACTTGCCTAGCAGGCACAAATCCTTGGATTCCAATCCCCATAAACCAGGAGAGGTACATACTCATGATCCCAACACTAAGAGAGGAGAGGCAGGAAAATAAAGGATATCCTGAGATACATAGTGAATTCCAGGCTAGCCTAGGCTACATAGAAGACCCTGTTTCAAAACAATCAAAAGGCTAAAAATAATTAGGGTTCAATAAAAGTGATCTTTTAAATTATTTAAAAAAAACAGAATACAGGCTCAGCAGGTAAAGGTGTTTGCTAGCAATCCTGACAACCGGAGTTTGGTCCCCGGAACCTGCGGGAGAGAACTGATTCCTGTGAGTTGTCCTTTTGACTCCATAAATGTAATTGTGGTGGTTTGGATGAAAATGGCCCCCATCAGCTCATAGGGCCTGGCACAATTAGGAATGTAGCCTTGTTGGAGTGGGTGTGGTATTGGAGAAAAATGTGCCACTGGGGGGAGGGGAGGGCTTTGAGTCTCCGAAGCTCAAACCAGGCCAAGTGGCTCACTGTCTGTTCCTGCTGCCTGTGGGTCCAGATGTAGAACTCTCAGCCGCCTTTCCAGCACCATGTTGCCTATATGCCATCATGCTCCCCACCATGACAATAATGGACTA